GGCTAGGTGCAGGAAGAGGTCACGGGACAGACCCAGCAGGTGCCCCGGGTTGACTGCTGTGCCAGGCTAGGTGCAGGAGGAGGAGGTCACGGGACAGACCCAGCAGGTGCCACGGGTTGACTGCTGTGCCAGGCTAGGTGCAGGAGGAGGAGGTCACGGGACAGACCCAGCAGGTGCCACGGGTTGACTGCTGTGCCAGGCTAGGTGCAGGAGGAGGTCACGGGACAGACCCAGCAGGTGCCACGGGTTGACTGCTGTGCCAGGCTAGGTGCAGAAGGAGGTCACGGGACAGACCCAGCAGGTGCCACGGGTTGACCGACTGAGATGAGTGGCCGATGCACCACCACCTGTCCCCCCTACCGTGTCAACGCGCTGCGTTTTACCCGCCCGGCCGCTCCGCCCGTTGTTGTGAGCGTCGCTCCTCTGCCCTCCGCTGTTGCTGAAGGGGCGACTGCCTCCAACTGCCCAGCAGCCTTCTAGGTGCACCTAGCCTGGCACTCCCCCTCCTCCGTGGAGTCCGACCTTGTGACACCGCTGTGGTTTCATCGGTTGTCAGCAAGTCCTCCACTCAGCTCCACGTCCTCCCCCTGTGCCACATCAGCTCTGTCTCCTCTCCGCTGTTGCTGGAGGGCGACTGCTCAAGATGCACCTAGCCTGGCACTGCCCAGCAGCGGTCCTTCGCGAACTTCCCCCTCTTCCACGGAGGGCGATCTTGTGACAGCGCGAAAGATTCAAATCTAGAACTATATATAAACCATTAAAAGAAACTGTTTATTTTTTAATTATTTTTACCAGGTTAAGGTCCCCACAAACGATGGCTCAACAAAAGTGGGCTCGTCATCATCATCGTCGTCATCATCATCATCGTCATCATCGTCGTCATCATCGTCGTCATCATCATCGTCATCATCATCATCGTCGTCATCATCGTCGTCATCACCATCGTCGTCATCATCGTCGTCATCATCATCATCGTCATCATCGTCGTCATCATCATCATCGTCGTCGTCATCATCATCGTCGTCATCATCATCGTCATCATCATCGTCATCATCGTCGTCATCATCATCGTCGTCATCATCATCGTCGTCATCATCATCGTCATTATCATCGTCGTCATCATCATCGTCATCATCATCGTCGTCATCATCATCGTCGTCATCATCATCATCGTCATCATCGTCGTGATCATCATCGTCGTCATCATCATCATCGTCATCATCGTCGTCATCATCATCGTCGTCATCATCGTCGTCATCATCATCGTCGTCATCATCATCGTCGTCATCATCATCGTCATTATCATCGTCGTCATCATCATCGTCAGCATGGACGTTGATAGCGGCAGCCAAATACCCGAATCGCGTGGCGATGTCGATTCTGAACGTGGAGGAGAAACGACCCCAGAGAACCCCGGATTACAAAAAAATTAAATCCACGCGATCAAAATCTGCAGCAGCAGCAGCAGGCATCGTCAGGGTCGGGGTCGAACCCACGACCTCCTGCATACCAGGCGAGGTAGTTAACATCTCCTAGCCACCGTAGCGCCCCATACATACAGTCCTGTGTTGCGCCCGTTGAGCTGACTGACACTCTATCCGACCAAACAGAAGCTGCTTGGGCATGCGGTGGCTGGGCACTAATCACTCACTCACCCACCCACTCACTCACCCACCCACTCAACCACTCACTCACTCACCCACTCACTCATCCACTTACCCACTCAATCACTCATTGACTCACTCACTCACCCACTCACTCACTCCCCCACTCACCCACTCACTCACCCACCCACTCAACCACTCACTCACTCCCCCACTCACCCACTCACTCACCCACCCACTCATCCACTTACCCACTCAAGCACTCATTGACTCACTCACTCACCCACTCACTCAACCACCGACTCACCCACTCACTCACCCACCCACTCACCCACCCACCCACTCACTCACCCACCCACTCTCTAACTCAACCACTCACTCAACCACCCACTCACTCACCCACCCACTCAACCACTCATTCACTCCCCCACTCACCCACTCACTCACGCACCCACTCAACCACTCACTCCCCCACTCACCCACTCACTCACTCATCGACTTAGTCACTCGCTCGGCCACTCAACCACCCACTCACTCACCCACCCACTCATCCACTCACCCACTCAACCACTCACTCACTCATTGACTCACTCACCCACTCCCTCAACCACTGACTCACTCACCCACCCACTCACCCACTCAACCACTCACCCACTTACCCGCTTACTCACCCACTCAACCAACCACTCACCCACTCAATCACTCCTCCACCAACTCACTCACCCACCCACTCATCCACTTACCCACTCAATCACTCCCCCATTCACGCACTCACTCATTCACCCACCCACTCTCTCACTCACCCACCCACTCAATCACCCACTCACTCACCCACTAACTCACCACTCACCCACTCACTCACCACTCACTCACCACTCAACCACTCACTCACCACCCACTCACCACTCACCCACTCATCCACTTACCCACTCAACCACCCACTCACTCACCCACTCACTCACCACTCACTCACTCACCACCCACTCACCACCCACTCACCACTCACTCACCACCCACTCACCACCCACTCACCACTCAACTCACCAGCACCGCTCACCCGCCCAGTCACTCCACAGCACGCCAGGCGACTGCTCCTTAAAGGCAGCCAGGTTGCCTATCGCGCCCCCGGTTTCCACCGCTCAGCCCTAACCCGGCCCGCGCGGCTCCTTAAACGCGCAGGGGCCACCGGCTACAGGTGCCACTTTGCTCGCTTATCTCAAATCGCTCCCTCTCCCTCCCTCACCCCCCCCTCTCACTCCCTCCCCCGCTCCCTCCCCACCCCTTCAACCTCACCCCCACCACCCCCAACGCTCCGTCAGTGGCCCCGGGGATAGCTGAATGAATGGGTGGGTGGTGGGTGGAGTGGGGTGAGTGGTGGGTGGAGTGGGGTGGGTGGTGGGTGGAGTGGGGTGGGTGGTGGGTGGGTGGTGGTGGTGGTGGTGACTATAAGTGGATGATGACACCCACCCTCACACCTCACTCGCCCACTGCACCGCGAACCCAACGGGAGAATCAACAACATCAACAACATTAACAACAACAACATCAACAACAACATCAACAACAACATCAACAGCGGCGGGAGTGGCTTTGCCCTTCAGCACGCTCATCAGTAACATTGCTTGAGAGTGACCAAAGCGACGACAATGATGACGCTGCTGCTGGTGGTGGTGGTAACAGCAGGCGAGATCAGCTACTCGCCTTGCCGTCACGTGCGTATGTAGTGTATAGTGTAGTGTATAGTTGTTGTGTGTAGTGTAGTGTATAGTTGTTGTGTGTAGTGTATAGTGTAGTGTATAGTTGTTGTGTGTAGTGTATAGTGTAGTGTGTAGTGTATAGTATAGTGTAGTGTATAGTGTAGTGTAGTGTGTAGTGTATAGTGTAGTGTGTAGTGTAGTGTACAGTGTAGTGTGTAGTGTATAGTGTAGTGTATAGTGTAGTGTATAGTGTAGTGTATAGTGTAGTGTGTAGTGTATAGTGTAGTGTGTAGTGTATAGTGTAGTGTATAGTGTCGTGTAGTGTGTAGTGTATAGTGTAGTGTGTCGTGTAGTGTAGTGAATTGTGTAGTGTAGTGTAGACTGTGGTATGTAGTGTAGTGTATAGTGTAGTGCAGTGTGTAGTGTAGTGTATAGTGTAGTGTAGTGTGTAGTGTAGTGTATAGTGTAGTGTGTAGTGTATAGTGTAGTGTATAGTGTAATATAGTGTAGTGTATAGTGTAGTGTATGGTGTAGTGTATAGTGTAGTGTGTAGAGTAGTATGTAGTGTAGTGTATAGTGTACTGTAGTGTATAGTGTAGTGTATAGTGTAGCGTATAGTGTAGTGTATAGTGTAGTAGTATATAGTGCAGTGTGTAGTGTATAGTGTAGTGTAATGTGAGTCGTAGTGTAGTGTGTGGTAGTGTAGTGTATAGTGTAGTATGTAGTGTATAGTGTAGTGTATAGTGTAGTGTATAGTAGTGTATCGTGTAGTGTATAGTTTAGTGTATAGTAGTGTATAGTGTAGTGTATAGTGTAGTTTATAGTAGTGTATAGTGTAGTGTATAGTGTGTAGTGTATAGTGTAGTTTAAAGTGTGTAGTGTATAGTAGTGTAGTGTATAGTAGTGTATAGTGTAGTGTATAGTAGTGTATAGTGTAGTGTATAGTGTGTAGTGTATAGGGTAGTGTATAGTGTAGTGTATCGTAGTGTATAGTGTAGTGTATAGTGTAGTGTATAGTAGTGTATAGTGTAGTGTATAGTGTATAGTAGTGTATAGTGTAGTGTATAGTGTAATGTATCGTAGTGTATAGTGTAGTGTATAGTAGTGTGTAGTGTAGTGTGTAGTGTATAGTGTAGTGTGAGCCGTAGTGGTGTGAGTCGCTTGCCGAGCCAGTGTGGAGGAGTGAGTCAAGGAATTGAGTCAACGTCGCGTCTCCTGATCGAGCAGCCGCAAGTCGACCAACACCACCACCACCTCCAACACCACCACCACCACCTCCACCACCACCTCCAACACTACCTCCTCCACCACCACCTCCACCAGCACCTCCACCTCCACCACCTCCAACTCCACCACCACCTCCACAACTACCACCTCCACAACTACCACCTCCACCACCACCACCACCTCCACCACCATCACCTCCACCACCACCTCCACCACATCCACCACATCCACCACCACCTCCACCACCACCACCTCCACCACCTCCACCACCACCACCACCTCCACCACCACCTCCACCACCACCACCTCCACCACCACCTCCACCACCTCCACCACCTCCTCCACCTCCACAACCACCTCCACCACCTCCACAACCACCACCTCCACCACCACCACCACCACCTCCACCACCACCACCACCACCTCCACCACCACCTCCACCACCACCTCCACCACCTCCACCACCACCCCCATGCCTCGCTCATTCCTCGTCAAGACGAAACGAAGTGGAGGCGCCGGGCGGAGGAGCGTTGGGAGTCCGGCAGGTGAGGACCCCTCAATCACTCACCACTCACTCACCACTCACTCACCACTCACGCACTCACCACTCACTCACCACTCACGCACTCACCACTCACTCACCACTCACTCACTCACCACTCACTCACCACTTACTCACCACTCACTCACCACTCACTCACCACGTACTCACTCACCACTCACTCACCACTCACCACTCACTCACTCACCACTCACTCACCACTCACTCACTCACCACTCACTCACCACTCACTCACTCATGACTCACCACTCACTCACCACTCACTCACTCACCACTCACTCACTCACTCGCCACTCACTCACCACGTACTCACTCACTCACCACTAACCACTCACTCACTCACCACGTACTCACTCACTCACTCACTACTCACTCACCACTCACTCACCACGTACTCACTCACTCACTCACCACATACTCACTCACCACTCACTCACCACTCATTCACTTACTCACTCACTCACTCACCACGTACTCACTCACCACTCACTCACTCACCACTCACCACATACTCACTCACTCACCACTCACTCACCACTCACCACTACTCACCACGTACTCACTGACTCACTCACCACTCACTCACTCACTCACCACTCACTACTCACTCACTCTCTCACCACTCACTCATCACTCACTCACTCACCACTCACTCACCACTCACTCACTCACTCACCACTCACTCACTCACTCACCACTCACTCACTCACCACTCAGTCACTTACCAATCACTCACCACTCACTCACTCACCACTCACTCACTCACTTACCAATCACTCACCACTCGCTCACCACTCACTCACTCACTCACCACTCACCACTCACTCACCACTCACTCACTCACTCACCACTCACTCACTCACCACTCACCACGTACTCACCACTCACTCACCTGCGCAGACACGTGTGTTCACATGCACCTACCGCATGCGTTATCTGGTGAAGTATACATTGCGCATGCAATATACATTGTAGTGATATGCAATGTATATGCAGTATGTAATGTATGTGTAGTGTATAGCGTAGTATATGTAGTGTATAGTGTAGTGTAGAGTGTAGTGTATATGTGTACTGTATAGTGTAGTATATATATAGTGTATAGTGTAGTGTATAGCGTAGTATATATAGTGTATAGTGTAGTGTAGAGTGTAGTGTATATGTGTATTGTATAGTATAGTATATGTGGTGTATAGTGTAGTGTGTAGTATAGTGTATAGTGTAGTGTAGTTTATAGTGTAGTGTGTAGTGTATAGTGTAGTGTATAATGTAGTGTATAGTGTAGTGTATAGTGTAGTGTATAATGTAGTGTATAGTGTAGTGTATAGTGCAGTGTATAGTGTAGTGTGTAGTGAGTGAGCAGGTGAGTGGGTGGGGGGGGGGGCGTTGTGGTGAGCTGGAGCGTGGTGAGTGACAGGGTGAGTGGGTGGTGGCTGTGTCCGCGGGTGGTGAGCGGTGGTGCAGCAGTTAGCGCTAATTACTCGCTACGAACCAGGCAATGATTTTTAGTTCGATTATCCGAACCGGTCCTGGGTTTCCTCTAGGTCGACCCAGCCTCAAATGAGTACTCGATGCGGTGACATCGCCACTGGGGGAGACAAAGGCGGCCGGGCGTGGTGCTGGCCACCCACCCCCTCGTTTGTCACAGTCCCGGCCTTCATAGGCGCTGCTGCTACTCGCTATTAACAGCACTTGCCCCTACAGTCTGTTAGAGGCTACACGGGGGACTTTTGTCTGTGTGTGTGTAGGTGCTGCTACTCGCTAACAGCACTTGCCCCTACAGTCTGTTAGAGGCTACACGGGGGACCTTTGTGTGTGTAGGTGCTGTTACTCGCTACTAACAGCACTTGCCCCTACAGTCAGTTAGAGGCTAAACGGGGGACCTTTGTCTGTGTGTGTAGGTGCTGCTACTCGCTATTAACAGCACTTGCCCCTACAGTCTGTTAGAGGCTACACAGGGTAACTTTGTCTGTGTGTAGATGCTGTTACTCGCTACGAACAGCACTAGCCCCTCCATTATGTTAGAGGCTACACGGGGGACCTTTGTCTGTGTGTGTAGGTGCTGGTACTCGCTATTAACAGCACTTGCCCCTACAGTCTGTTAGAGGCTACACGGGGCACTTTTGTCTGTGTGTGTAGGTGCTGCTACTCGCTACTAACAGCACTTGCCCCTCCATCATGTTAGAGGCTACACGGGGCACCTTTGTCTGTGTGTGTAGGTGCTGCTACTCGCTACTAACAGCACTAGCCCCTCCATTATGTTAGAGGCTACACGGGGGACCTTTGTCTGTGTGTAGGTGCTGCTACTAAAACAACCCCCTACCTCCTCGCGGTGCCGGACGGGCAACTCTGTCGTGGACAGTGCTGTGGGGGGAGATCCAATTTTGATTGGCTCCTCCCCTCATGGCATATGTGTCCACCACAGGGGCTAAACGGGGGCTCTGGACGGGTGCGAGGGGCTGGTAACCCCTCCACCTTCAATTAATTACCACGAAACCACGAGTTAAACTGAAATATGTAACTAATAAGCTTGTGCCGGAGGCCCCGGGGGGCCAGGCGTCTATGACGTCTCCTGGCCAAACCCCAATTGGCGGAGCCAGGAGATTGAATACCTACCCTCGGGGCTACTCCAGAAACAACGAAAAGCCACTACGGGTGGCCACGTGGAATGTTCGAACGCTCACTGCAGATGAGAGGCTGCCACTCCTCTGTCGGGAGCTGGACCGGTACCGCCTGGATCTATGCGGCATTCAGGAGGTCCGGTGGACCGGCTCTGGCTCTTGCCACCATGAGGGGTGGACAGTCCTCTACTCGGGGCAGCAGACTGCCAAACAACAGGGTGTGGGTCTTCTTTTGAACAAAAGAATGAAGGGGGCGTGGGAGCGTGGCGGTGAGGTGTGGGAAGCTGTAAGCCCCAGGCTACTTTGGGCTTGCCTTCCCATCAACCGGAGGCGAGGAATGGTGGTCGTGGTTACTTATGCCCCCACCGAAGATGAACATCCGTGGAGGGATGCAGGCAAAGCCGATGAGTCAGATGCCTTCTATGACCTCCTGTCACAGGTGCTGGCTAAAGTGGCCCCTCGGGATAGAGTCATCATGTTGGGTGACTTCAATGCCCGAGTTGGTCATGATACTGGCACCTGGTCTGGAGTGATTGGAGGGCATGGGCCAGATCAGCTCAATAACAACGGTAGGAGGCTGCTAGATTTTTGTGCAGCCCATGGGCTTGTAATTACCAACACGCTGTACCGGCATCGGCGCATCCACACAACATCATGGATGCATGCCAAGCAAGAACATCTGCTGGACTACATAGTGACGGACCAGCGAATGCGAGCCTATGTCCTTGACACCAGGACCTACCGTGGAGCTGATCTGCCCTCTGACCATCGACTAGTCATCTGTAAGATGCGCCTGCCATTCTTCCACTCCGGTGGTGGGTGTACACCCAGGACCCCATTCCAACATAAAGTGGCCTGGTCTCAGTTATCTGATGAAAGTTGCAAGCGAGAATTTCATCATCGCTTGCGGCTGGGATTGGCATCGTCCCCGACTCCTGATGTCGAGGGTAAATGGGTGAGGTTTAGAATTGTGACTCATGCAGCTGCAATGGCTGCTTTGGGTACGCGGTCCAGACCTCCCCAGAGACCCTGGCTGACAGAGGAGGTGTTCAGGATGGTTGAGAAAAAGCGACAGACCCACTGTCATCGGCTACAGAATCCCACGTCAGAGAATGAGGAGGCTTACCGCAGCCTTCGCTCGGAGGTTCGGAGAGCCGTGAGGCGCTGCAAGGATGGGTGGTGGTCGCGGGTTGCTGAGGAGATGGAGTCTGCCTCAGTGGCCCGTGATCACAAATCTATATTTAACTCCATCAAAAAAGTAACCTGCAGCGCCACACCTATTACCATCATTAGAGGAAAAAACGGTGATCCAATCTCCGACCCCCAGGAACAGGTTCGCAGATTTGCTGAGCATTTCTGTGAGGTCCTGGGGGAGGGAAAATCCCTCAGCCAGGAAAACATCGTGGCACAAAGTGAGGATGACCCTGCTGAGGCTGCGGTGCCTCAAATATTGGAAGAAGTCACCCCCTGTGAGTGGCTGGCTGAGGTGCCATCTGCTGAGGAAGTATTGAAGGCGATCCGGAGTCTGAGACCAGGAAAGGCAGTGGGCAGAGATGATCTCCCAAGCGAAATGCTGAGGGAGGGTGGCGTTTGTGCACAGACTGCCCTATATGACATCATAACAACAGTCTGGACCACTGGACGGGTTCCGCAGGATTGGAAGGATGCCCTGGTGGTCCCCCTTTTTAAGAAGGGGGACCGCACAGACTGTAACAACTACAGGGGCATCTCACTCCTCAGTGTGCCGGGAAAGGTCCTGGCAAGGATTATTCAGCATCGCCTTGCCAGGCACGCTGAGGAGAGGCTTGCGGAGCCCCAATGCGGTTTCAGGAAAGGGCGGTCCTGTACAGATGCCATATTTTCTGTCCGTCTGCTACAGCAGAGGTGTAGGGAATTCCAACAAGACCTACATCTCTGCTTTATTGACCTGCTCAAGGCGTATGATACCATCAGTAGGCCTGGGCTCTGGGTCGTTCTTCGTGCTTTTGGGGTACCTGACCCTCTGCTCACGATCATTAAGGTCCTTCATGATGGTGAGCGGGCCCGGGTAAAACTACGTGGCCGGGAGTCAGAGTAATTCCCTGTACACCTTGGGGTGCGACAGGGATGTCCTCTGGCTCCCACATTATTTAACATCTATTTTAACCACGTAGTTCGTGAAGCCTTCAATAGCTGTACCGGTGGAATCTCCATATGGTACAGATATAATGGGAGGCTAATCGATGCCCGGGTGCGGTCAAGGGATGGCTCCCTATTGCTCAACCACGCTATGTATGCTGATGATTTGGTAATAGCTGCTCAGTAGGAGGAGGAGTTGGAGACGCTGCTGCTGAGACTGGAGCGTGCCACTAAGAAGTGGGGCCTTACCATCAGCCCCACCAAAACTAAGCACCTGCCTGGGTATTTTGTACCATCGGACACTCCACCCCCACAACCCCCAATCGGTGATGGGGCAGTTGTGGAGAGAGTGGAGAGTTTCCCATACCTGGGCAGTGTGCTTATGACTGGCTCCAGTTTAACAGCAGAGGTCTCACTCCGAATCAGTCGAGCGGCAATATCTTTTCATCGGTTGCGTAACGCTGTGTGGAAGCTACCTGGTCTGTCGCTCCGCACTAAGCTTCAGGTCTTCTCGGCCACGGTCATTCCCTCCCTTCTCTACGCTTGCGAAACGTGGAACCCCCTAATGGAACATCTTCGCCGGTTAGAAACATTTAGGCCGGCCTGCCTACGATCCATCCTGGGTTTAACCAGAATGGATTGTGTGAGGAGCTCACAAATCCTTGAAAGATCTGGGCAGGGTCCCACCGGTGAGCTCCTCCGGCAGGCAAGGCTGCGATGGCTGGGTCATGTAGCCCGCATGCCCAGCCACCGCATGCCGAAACAGCTTTTGTTTGGCCGGATTGAGGGGGCTAAGCGGGCGCGGCACGGGCTAGAGAAGAGATGGAGTGATGTGGTACAGGAGAACGTGGAGCTGAGTGGACTTGCCGATGACTGGTACCAGCGGTGTCAAGATCGGCCCCTGTGGAGGAGGCTCGTGAAGGATGCTACTGGGCAGTTGGAGGCAGTCGCCCTCCAAAAACAACGTAGGGCGGAGGAGCGACGCTCAGAACAACGAGCGGAGCGCCGGGTGGCTAAAGCACAGCAGGGTGGCACAGTAGGGGGCACAGGTGGTGCATCAGCCAGTCATCTCAGTCAGTCGACCCGTGGCACCTGGGTCTGCCCCGTGACCTCCTGCCAGCGGGCGTTCGACACTTCACGTGGCCTCAGGGTGCACATAGCCTGGCACAAGCGTCGTGGTGACGTCACCGCCACTTAGTGGCGAATGGCGGTTGTTGTTGTTGCTACTCGCTACTAACAGCACTTGCCCCTCCATCATGTTAGAGGCTACACGGGGCACCTTTGTCTGTGTGTGTAGGTGCTGCTACTCGCTACTAACAGCACTTGCCCCTCCATCATGTTAGAGGCTACACTGGGCACCTTTGTCTGTATGTGTAGGTGCTGCTACTCGCTACTAACAGCACTTGCCCCTACAGTCTGTTAGAGGCTATACGGGGGACCTTTGTCTGTGTGTGTAGGTGCTGCTACTCGCTACAACAGCACTTGCCCCTCCATCATGTTAGAGGCTACACGGGGCACCTTTGTCTGTATGTGTAGGTGCTGCTACTCGCTACTAACAGCACTTCCCCCTACAGTCTGTTAGAGGCTATACGGGGCACCTTTGTCTGTGTGTGTAAGTGCTGCTACTCGCTACAACAGCACTTGCCCCTCCATCATGTTAGAGGCTACATGGGGGACATTTCTCTGTGTAGGTGCTGCTACTCGCTACAACAGCACTTGCCTCTACAGCCTGTTAGAGGCTACACGGGGGACCTTTGTGTGTGTAGGTGCTGTTACTCGCTACTAACAGCACTTGCCCCTACAGTCTGTTAGAGACTACACGGGGACCTTTGTCTGTGTGTGTAGGTGCTGCTACTCGCTACTAACAGCACTAGTCCCTCCATCATGTTAGAGGCTACACGGGGGACCTTTGTCTGTGTGTGTAGGTGCTGCTACTCGCTACTAACAGCACTTGCCCCTCCATCATGTTAGAGGCTACACGGGGGACCTTTGTCTGTATGTGTAGGTGCTGCTACTCGCTACTAACAGCACTTGCCCCTACAGTCTGTTAGAGGCTATACGGGGCACCTTTGTCTGTGTGTGTAAGTGCTGCTACTCGCTACAACAGCACTTGCCCCTCCATCATGTTAGAGGCTACATGGGAGACCTTTGTCTGTGTAGGTGCTGCTACTCGCTCCAACAGCACTTGCCTCTACAGCCTGTTGGAGGCTACACGGGGGACCTTTGTGTGTGTAGGTGCTGCTACTCGCTACTAACAGCACTTGCCCCTACAGTCCGTTAGAGGCTACACGGGGGACCGTTGTCTGTGTGTGTAGGTACTGCTACTCGCTACTAACAGCACTTGCCCCTACAGTCTGTTAGATGCTATACGGGGCACTTTTGTCTGTATGTGTCGGTGCACTCGCTACTAACAGCACTTGCCCCTACAGCATGTTAGAGGCTACACGGGGGACCTTTGTCTGTGTAGGTGCTGCTACTCGCTACAACAGCACTTGCCACTCCATCATGTTAGAGGCTACACGGGGGACCTTTATCTGTGTGTGTAGGTGCTGCTACTCGCTACAACAGCACTTGCCCCTTCATCATGTTAGAGGCTACACGGGGGACCTTTGTCTGTGTGTAGGTGCTGCTACTCGCTTCTAACAGCACTTGCCCCTACAGTCTGTTAGAGGCTACACGGGGCACCTTTGTCTGTGTGTGTAGGTGCTGCTACTCGCTACTAACAGCACTTGCCCCTCCAGTCTGTTAGGGGCTATACGGGGCACCTTTGTCTGTGTGTAGGTGCTGCTACTCGCTACAACAGCACTTGCCCCTCCATCATCTTAGAGGCTACACGGGGCACCTTTGTCTGTGTGTGTAGGTGCTGCTACTCGCTACTAACAGCACTTGCCCCTCCATCATGTTAGAGGCTACACTGGGCACCTTTGTCTGTGTGTGTAGGTGCTGCTACTCGCTACTAACAGCACTTGCCCCTCCATAATGTTAGAGGCTACACGGGGGACCTTTGTCTGTGTGTGTAGGTGCTGCTACTCGCTACAACAGCACTTGCCCCTACAGTCTGTTAGAGGCTACACGGGGGACCTTTGTCTGTGTGTGTAGGTGCTGCTACTCGCTACAACAGGACTTGCCCCTCCATCATGTTAGAGGCTACACGGGGGACCTTTGTCTGTGTGTGTAGGTGCTGCTACTCGCTACAACAGCACTTGCCCCTCCATCATGTTAGAGGCTACACGGGGGACCTTTGCCTTTGCCTTTGTCGCAGGGGTTCGTGCCCCTGAGGATGGCGGGGCCCTGGGGGGGTTCGAGCCCCCGCCGAGCCCCGCGGCCGCGAGCCCCTGGGAGCCGCCGGTGGTGACGTCACGGGGGGGGCCGCAAGGGGGGTCACGAGAGGGGTCACGAGGGGGGGCTCGAGGGGCCTCGCGGGGCCCCGGCCACGTGGAGGGAGACGCCGGCCCAGCCGCGTGGAGCCCTCTCGGCCATGGGGGTACACGGGGGGGGGGGGTGGGAAACACGGGGGGGGGGGCACTGGGGGGGGGGAGACACGGGGGGGGGCACGGGGGGGGAGACACGGAGGGAGGTGGGGAGGGGGGGTGGGGGGAGACACGGGGGGGGGCACTGGGGGGGGGGAGACACGGGGGGGGGAGACACGGGGGGGCACTGGGGGGGGGGGATACGGGGGGGAGACACGGGGGGGCACTGGGGGGGGGAGACACGGAGGGAGGTGGGGAGTGGGGGTGGGGGGAGACACGGGGGGGGGCACTGGGGGGGGGGAGACACGGGGGGGGGAGACACGGGGGGGCACTGGGGGGGGGGATACGGGGGGGGAGACACGGGGGGGCACTGGGGGGGGGGAGACACGGGGGGGTAGGTTGGGGAGGGGGGTGACACAGGGGGGGGGAGACACGGGGGGGGGGAACTGGGGGGGACACGGGGGGGGGAGGGGGGCACGTGGGGGAGGTGGGGGGGGTGACACGTGGGAGGTGGGGGTGGGGGTGACAGGCTGCCCCCCCCCCCCTCCCCTACGCCACTGCGTAACTGCTCGCCCACAATGTGGACAAAGCAGCCGCAGGGGCTGCCGCTGCTGCTTCACCGTCACGTGCCCCCCCCCCCCCCCACTCCCCCCCACTCCCCCCCCCACTCCCCCCCCACTCCCCCTCCCACCTCCTGCCCCCCCTCCCCCCACAGGGGTCACCATCTCCGCGAGCCGCCTGCTCCCCGAGTCGCCGCTGTCCGGCTGGCCGGACCCCCTTAGCGGGGGTCCCCTGGGCGGGGGTCCCCTTAGGGGGGGTCCCCTGGGCGGGGGTCCCCTGGGCGGGGGTCCCCTGACCCCGTCTGGGGTCGTGTTGGGGTGCGAGGGGGCTCTGGAACTCCGCGCGTTGCTGCTCCTGGGAGCTGAGGGGGGGCCGGCCCTGCCTGGGGGGGGGCGAGCCCCTTCCCCCGGGGGGGGCCGGGCCCCCCCTCGCTGCTCCCCCAACAGCTGCTGCTGCTCCCCCCCCCTCCTGCTCCTCGTCGCCCCTCCCCTCATCCTCGTCGCCCCTCCCCCCCTCATCCTCGTCGGCCTCGTCCGGAGCCCAGAGCCACGCCTCCTTCCACTGCCTCAAGTGTGGCAAGGTGATGGTGGTGATGGTGGTGGTGGTGATGGTGGTGGTGGTGATGGTGGTGGTGGTGGTGATGGTGGTGATGGTGATGGTGGTGGTGGTGGTGATGGTGATGGTGGTGGTGATGGTGATGATGGTGATGGTGGTGATGGTGGTGGTGGTGATGGTGGTGGTGATGGTGGTGGTGGTGATGGTGGTGATGGTGGTGATGCTGGTGGTGATGGTGGTGGTGGTGATGGTGGTGGTGGTGATGGTGGTGATGGTGGTGGTGATGGTGGTGGTGGTGATGGTGGTGGTGGTGATGGTGGTGGTGGTGATGGTGGTGGTGGTGATGGTGATCGTGGTGGTGGTGGTGATGGTGGTGGTGATGGCGGTGGCGGTGGCGGTGGTGATGGTGGTGGTGATGGTGGTGATGGTGGTGGTGATGGTGATGGTGATGATGGTGATGGTGGTGGTGGTGATGGTGGTGGTGGTGATGGTGGTGGTGATGGTGGTGGTGGTGATGGTGGTGATGCTGGTGATGCTGGTGGTGATGGTGGTGGTGGTGATGGTGGTGGTGGTGATGGTGGTGATGGTGGTGGTGATGGTGGTGGTGGTGATGGTGGTGGTGGTGGTGATGGTGGTGGTGGTGATGGTGGTGGTGGTGATGGTGATCGTGGTGGTGGTGGTGATGGTGGTGGTGATGGTGGTGGTGGTGATGGTGGTGGTGGTGGTGATGGTGGTGGTGGTGATGGTGGTGGTGGTGGTGATGGTGGTGGTGGTGATGGTGGTGGTGGTGATGGTGGTGGTGGTGGTGATGGTGGTGATGGCGGTGGCGGTGGTGGTGGTGATGGTGGTGGTGATGGTGGTGATGGTGGTGGTGATGGTGGTGATGGTGGTGGTGGTGGTGATGGTGGTGGTGATGGTGGTGGTGATGGCGGTGGTGGTGGTGATGGTGGTGGTGGTGGTGGTGATGATGGTGGTGGTAATGGTGGTGGTGATGGTGGTGGTGATGGTGGTGGTGGTGATGGTGATGATGATAGTGATGATGATGGTGGTGGTGATGGTGGTGATGGTGGTGGTGGTGATGGTGGTGATGGTGGTGATGGTGGTGATGGGGGTGGTGGTGATGGTGGTAATTGTGGTGGTGATGGTGGTGGTGATGGTGGTGGTGGTGGTGATGGTGGTGATGGGAGTGGTGATGGTGATGGTGGTGATGGTGGTGATGGTGATGGTGATGATGGGGGTGGTGGTGATGGTGATGGTGGTGATGATGGTGATGGTGGTGATGGTGGTGATGGTGGTGGTGATGGTGGTGGTGATGGTGGTGCTTGGGGTGGTGGTGATGGGGGTGGTGGTGATGGGGGTGGTGGTGATGGTGGTACTGTTGATGAAGATGTTACTAATGATGTTGATGATGGTGTTGATGGTGATGACGGTGTTGATGATGATGTTGATGATGGTGTTGTTGATGATGATGTTGTTGATGATGGTGTTGTTGATGATGATGTTGTTGATGATGGTGTTGTTGATGGTGTTGTTGATGATGGTGTTGATGATGATGATGTTGATGATGTTGTTGTTGATGATGGTGTTGTTGATGATGGTGTTGATGATGGTGTTGTTGATGATGGTGTTGATGATGATGATGTTGATGATGTTGTTGATGATGGTGTTGATGATGATGGTGTTGTTGATGATGGTGTTGTTGATGATGGTGTTGATGATGGTGTTGTTGATGATGGTGTTGTTGCTGATGGTGTGTATGATGGTGTTGTTGATGATGGTGTTGTTGATGATGTTGTTGATGATGTTGTTGATGATGATGGTGTTGTTGATGGTGTTGATGATGGTGTTGTTGATGGTGTTGATGATGATGTTGATGATGATGGTGTTGATGATGGTGTTGTTGATGATGGTGTTGTTGATGATGGTGTTGTTGATGATGGTGTTGTTGATGATGATGATGGTGTTGTTGATGATGATGTTGTTGATGATGGTGTTGATGATGATGATGGTGTTGTTGATGATGATGTTGATGATGATGTTGATGATGGTATTGATGATGATGTTGATGATGGTGTTGTTGATGATGGTGTTGATGATGATGATGGTGTTGATGATGATGATATTGTTGATGATGACACAGTAGAAAGCGACCGGTACGTGGTGGCCGCGGTGACCTCTTGACCCCGCGTGACCTCTGCCCCCCCCCCCCCCAGGTGTTCTCGACCCCCCACGGCCTGGAGGTTCACGCGCGGCGTGCCCACAGTGGGGGGGCCTCGCGGCCGTTTGCGTGCCGAGCGTGCGGCAAGGCCTTCGGGCACGCGGCCTCGCTGGAGCAGCACCGCGCCACTCACTCGCAGGTGGAGCACGCTCACCGCTCGCCGCTCACCACTCACCGCTCACCGCTCACCGCTCACCGCTCGCTCACTCACCGCTCACCGCTCACCGCTCGCCACTCACCGCTCGCTCACCACTCGCTCACTCACCGTGCCACTCACTCGCAGGTGGAGCACGCTCACCGCTCACCGCTCACCGCTCGCCGCTCGCCGCTCGCTCACTCACCGCTCGCTCACTCACCGCTCACCGCTCACCACTCACCGCTCGCCGCTCGCTCACCGCTCGCTCACTCACCGCGCCATGCACTCGCAGGTGTAGCACGCTCACCGCTCACCGCTCATCGCTCGCTCGCCGCTCACAGATCGCTCGCTGGCCACTCGCTTGCTCACCGCTCACCGCTCGCTCACCGCTTGCTCACTCACCGAGCCACTCACTCGCAGGTGGAGCACGCTCACCGCTCATCGCTCGCTCACCGCTCACAGAGCGCTCGCTGGCCGCTCGCTCGCTCACCGCTCGCCGCGCACCGCTCGCTCACCGCTCACCCACCACTCACCGAGCAACTCACTCACAAGTGGGGCACGCTCGCCGCTCGCCGCTCGCCGCTCGCCACTCACCGCTCACTCACCGAGCGACTCACTCACAGGTGGAGCACGCTCACCGCTCACCGCTCGCTCGCCGCTCGCCGCTCGATCACCGCTCGCTCACTCACCGCTCACCACTCGCCGCTCACTCATCGCTCGCTCACTCACCACTCGCTCACTCACCGAGCCACTCACTCGCAGGTGGAGCACGATCACCGTTCACCACTCACCGCTCACCGCTCGCTCGCCGCTCGCTCACCGCTCACCGTTCGCTCGCCACTCACCGCTCACTCACCAAGCCACTCACTCACTCACTCACGGGTGGGACGCTCGCTCGCTCACCACTCGCTCACCGCACTCGCTCACTCGCAGGCAGGCGATGCTCACCGCACGAAGCACACGCGCATCGAAATATGTTGTCGCCAACATGACGTGGAAGCAAGAGGCGCCGGAGGGAAGGTTAAGGCACAGGTGCAAGTAGCCTCCTGTGTTTCGGTTTCTTAGGGACGTAGAGAGGGGGGTGGGGGGGAGGGGTGAGCGCGGGAAGGCGGTGGAGGGGTTAATGGAGTAAGGGAACCGAGCTGCAGTCGAGCTGTAGTTGAGCTCGAGTGGAGCTGTAGTCGAGCAGTAGTCGAGCTGGAGTCGAGCTCTAGTCGAGCTGCAGTCGAGCTGTAGTCGAGCTATAGTCGAGCTGTAGTTGAGCAGAAGTCGAGCTGCAGTCGAGCTGTAGTCGAGCTATAGTCGAGCTGTAGTTGAGCAGAAGTCGAGCTGCAGTCGAGCTGTAGTTGAGCAGAAGTCGAGCTGTAGTCGAGCCGTAGTCGAGCCGCAGTCGAGCTGTAGTCGAGCTGTAGTCGAGCTCTAGTCGAGCAGTAGTCGAGCTGTAGTCGAGCTGGAGTTGAGCTGTAGTCGAGCTGGAGTCGAGCTGGAGTTGAGCTGTAGTCGAGCTGTAGTCGAGCTGTAGTTGAGCTGCAGTCGAGCTTTAGTCGAGCTGGAGTCGAGCTGTAGTCGAGCTCTAGTCGAGCTGTAGTCAAGCTGTAGTCGAGCTCTAGTCGAGCTGTAGTCGAGCTGTAATCGAGCTTTAGTCGAGCTGTAGTCGAGCTGTAATCGAGCTGTAGTCGAGCTGTAGTCGAGCTGGAGTCAAGCTTTAGTCGAGCTGTAATCGAGCTGGAGTCGAGCTGGAGTCGAGCTGCAGTCGAGCTGTAGTCGAGCTGTGGCTTTAATGGGACGGCGGTTTCGCGGCGGTCGCCGGCGGACGCAGGAGCGCAGCTTCGCGTGCGACATCTGCGGCAAGGCGTTCAAGCGCTCGTCCACACTGTCCACCCACCTGCTCATCCACTCGGACACGAGGCCCTACCCCTGCGCCTACTGCGGCAAGCGCTTCCACCAGAAGTCCGACATGAAGAAGCACACCTTCATACACACAGGTGAGACACACGTACACCTACACACACACACACACCTACACACACACACTTTCATACACACACCTTCATACACATAGGTGAGACACACGCACACCTACACACACACCTACACACACACTTTCATACACACACCTTCATACACACAGGTGAGACACACGCACACCTACACACACACACCTACACACACACACCTACACACACACCTTCATACACACAGGTGAGACACACGCACACCTACACACGCACAACTACACACACACACACCTACACACACACCTACAACAACCGCCATTCGCCACTAAGTGGCGGTGACGTCACCACGACGCTTGTGCCAGGCCATGTGCACCTTACCACTAAACCACGACTAAAATATCTAACACACACGCACACACCTACACACGCTTTCATACACACAGGTGAGACACACGCACACCTACACACACGCACCTACACACCTACACACACCCCTACACACATACACACGGGTGAGACACGCACGCACACCTACACACACCTACACACATACACACGGGTGAGACATGCACGCACACCTACACACACCTACACACACACCTGCACACAAAGACAAAGATCCCTCTATAGCCTGTAACAGGCTGTAGGGGCAAGTGCTGTTAGCGAGTAGCACCTATGGAGGCCGGCACGGTACACGAGGGGGTGGGTGGCCAGCCCCACGCCCGGCCGCCTTTGTCTCCCCAGTGGCGATGTTTACCGCACACCGCACCAGGTATTCATTTGAGGCTAAGTCGATCTAGGGGAGGCCCAGGACCGATTCAAATAATCGTCACCGGTGTTGGCCAGGTTCGTAGTGCAGCGCGCTAACCACTACGCCCCTGTCACACCCCACGTCACACCCCACGTCACACATACGTCACACACCCCCTGTCAAACCCCCATCACACGCGTGCACACACGCGTCACACCCCCCGCGTCACACACCCCCCCGTCACACACCCCGCGACACACCCCCCTCCCGCGTCACACCCCCTGCATCACACCCCCCCCATCACACACCCCCCGTCACACACACCGCGTCACACCCCCCGCGTCACACCCCCCCGTAACGTAAGCCAATCCCACACCCCGCGTCGCAGCCCCCGTCACACCCCCCGCGTCACACACCCCCCGTCACACACCCCCCGTCACACACCCCCCATCACACACCCCCCCCCATCACACACCCCCCCATCACACACACCCCGCGTCACACACCCCCCGTCACACCCCCCCATCACACCCCCCGCGTCACACACCCCCCGTCACACACCCCCATCACACACCCCCCCGTCACACCCCCCCCCCCCATCACACACACCCCGCGTCACACACACCCCCCGTCACACAGACCGCGTCACACCCCCCCATCACACCCCCCCCCCGTCACACCCCCCCCGTCACAACACACCCCCCGTCACAAACCCACCAATCACACACCCCCCCGTCACACACCCCCCCCATCACACACACCCCGCGTCACACACACCCACCGTCACACACACCCTGCGTCACACACACCCCCCGTCACACACCCCCCGCGTCACACACACCCCGCGTCACACAGACCGCGTCACACCCCCCCATCACACCCCCCCCGTCACACCCCCCCCGTCACACACACCCCCCCGTCACACACCCACCAATCACACACTCCCCCCCCGTCACACACACCCCGCGTCACACACACCCCCCGTCACACACACCGCGTCACACCCCCGGCGTCACACACCCCCGTCACGTCACCCCGTCACACACCCACCCATCACGCCCCCCCCCCGTCACACACACCCCCCGTCACACACACCCTCCGTCACACACACACCGTCACACACACCCCCCGTCACACACACCCCGCGTCACACACACCCACCGTCACACACACCCCGCATCACACACACTCCCCGTCACACACACACACCGTCACACACACCCCCCGTCACACACACCACGCGTCACACACACCCTCCGTCACACACACCTCGTCACACCCCCCCCATCACACCCCCCCGTCACACCCCCCCCGTCACACACCCCCCGTCACACACCCACCAATCACACACCCCCCCGTCACACACACCCCGTGTCACACACACCCCGCGTCACACACACCGCGTCACACCCCCCGCGTCACACACCCTCGTCACGTCCCCCTGTCACACACCCACCCATCACGCCCCCCCCCCGTCACACACACCCCGCGTCACACACACCCCGCGTCACACACACCCTCCGTCACACACACACCGTCACACACACCCCGCGTCACACACACACACCGTCACACACACACCGTCACACACACCGTCACACACACACCGTCACACACACCGTCACACACACCCCCCGTCACACACACACCGTCACACACACCCACCGTCACACACACACACACCGTCACACACACACCGTTACACACACCGTCACACACACACCGTCACACACACCCCGCGTCACACACACCCCGCGTCACACACACGCACCGTCACACACACACCGTCACACACACCCACCGTCACACACACACCGTCACACACACCGTCACACACACACACCGTCACACACACCCTCCGTCACACACCCACCGTCACACACACACCGTCACACACACCCTCCGTCACACACACACCTATACCCGCGTCGAGGCCACGTGAAGCGTCGCTGCTGGCAGCCCCCCAGCCCCCCAGCGGGTGCCACGGGTTGCCCGAGATGAGCGGGAGGTGCACCCCCACCAGCCGTAGCCCCCCCCCCCCAAATAAGCCCCCCATCACTGACCCCCCCCCCCCCCCACCAGGCGAGAAGCCCCACAAGTGCTCCGTGTGCGGCAAGGCGTTCAGCCAGAGCTCCAACCTCATCACGCACTCGCGCAAACACACTGGCTTCAAGCCCTTCGCCTGCGACCTCTGCGCCCGCGGCTTCCAGCGCAAGGTCGACCTACGGCGTCACCGCGACGCGCAGCACGGGGGCCGCTAGCGCCGGGACCCCCCCTGCCGGGGGGGACGGAGGACGCTGGCAGGGGTCCCCGACCGGGTCGCACCCAGGGACCCTCCGGGCCTCGACTCCGATCCGGAACCAACCGGAGGGAACGCTCCCCCACTATCTACCCCCCCCCCCTCAACCGCTACCCCTCCCCCTTCCCCACTGCCCCTCACCCCTCCCCACCACCCCTCCTCCCCAATTAGGGGGGGGGGGGTCCACGTTTCGTAAGCGTAGAGAAGGGAGGGAATGACCGTGGCCGAGAAGACCCGAAGCTTCGTGCGGAGCGACAGACCAGGTAGCTTCCACACAGCGTTAAGCAACCGATTAAAAGATAACGCCGCTCGACTGATTCGCAGTGAGACATTTTAAGACCTAGGCTCAGGGTGCTCATGACTGGAGCCGGTCATAAGCACACTGCACAGGTATGGGAAACTCTCCACTCTCTCCACAACTGCCCCATCACCGATTGGGAGTTGTGGGGGTGGAGTGTCCGATGGTACAAAACACCCAGGCAGGTGCTTCGTTTTGGTGGGGCTGATGGTAAGGCCCCATCGCTTAGTGACACGATCCAGTCTCAGCAGCAGCGTCTCCAACTCCTCCTCTGAATGAGCAGCTATTATCAAATCATCGGCATACATAACGCGGTTGAGCAATAGGGAGCCATCCCTTGACCGCACCCGGGCATTGGTCAGCCGGTACAGCTATTGACGGCTTCACGAACTACGTGGTCAAAATAGATGCTAAATAATGTGGGAGCCAGAGGACATCCCTGTCGCACCCCAAGGTGTACAGGGAATGGCTCTGACTCCCGGCCACGTAGTTTTACCTGGGCTCGCTCACCATCATGAAGGTCCTTAATGATCGTGAGCAGAGGGTCAGGGACTCCAAAAAGCACGAAGAACAACCCAGAGCCCAGGCCTACGGATGGTATCATAGGCCTTGACCAGGTCAATAAATTCTTAAAGAGGGGGACCACCATGGCATCCTTCCAATCCTGCGGAACCCGTCCAGTGGTCCAGACTGTTGTTATGATGTCATATAGGGCAGTCTGTGCACAAACGCCACCCTCCCTCAGCATTTTGCTTGGGAGATCATCTTTGTCCGCTGCCTTTCCTGGTCTCAGACTCCGGATCGCCTTCAGTACTTCCTCAACAGATGTCACCTCAGCCAGCCACTCACAGGGGGTGACTTCCTCCAATATTTGAGGCACCGCAGCCTCAGCAGGGTCATCCCCACTTTGTGCCACGATGTTTTCCTGGCTGAGGGATTTCCCCTGCCCCAGGACCTCACAGAAATGCTCAGCAAATCTGCAAACCTGTTCCTGGGGGTTGGAGATTGGATCACCGTTTTTTCCACTAATCATGGTAATAGGTGTGGCACTGCAGGTTACTTTTTTGATGGAGTTAAATAGAGATTTGTGATCGAGGGCCACTGAGGCAGACTCCATCTCCTCAGCAACCCGCGACCACCACCCATCCTTGCAGCGCCTCACGGCTCTCCGAACCTCCGAGCGAAGGCTGCGGTAAGCCTCCTCATTCTCTGACGTGGGATTCTGTAGACGATAACAGTGGGCCTGTCGCTCTTTCTCAACTATCCTGAACACCTCCTCTGTCAGCCAGGGTCTCTGGGGAGGTCTGGACAGCGTACCCAAAGCAGCCATTACAGCTGCATGAGTCACAGTCCTAAACCTCGCCCATTTCCCCTCGACATCTGGAGGAGTCGGGGACAATGCTAACCCCAGCCGCAAGCGATGATAAAATTATCGCTTGCAACTTTCATCAGCTAGCTGAGACCAGGTCACCTTGGGTTTGAAAGGAGTCCTTGGTGTACACCCACCACCGGAGTGGAAGAATGGCAGGCATATCTTACAGATGACTAGTCATTGGTCAGTGGGCAGATCAGCTCCATGGTAGGTCCTGGTGTCAAGGACATGGGCCCACATCTGCTGTTCCGTCACTACGTAGTCCAGCAGATGTTCTTACTTGGACGTGCAATGCATCCATGATGTTGTGTGGATGCGCCGATGCCGGAACAGCGTGTTGGTAATTACAAGCCCATGGGCTGCACAAAGATCTAGCAGCCTCCTACCAATGTTATTGAGCTGATCTGGCCCATGTCTTCCAATCACTCCAAACCAGGTGCCAGCATCATGACCAACTCAGGCGTTGAAGTCGCCCAACAGGATGACTCTATCCTGAGGGGCCACTTTAGCTAGCACCTGTGACAGGTCATAGAAATCATCCGACTCATCGGCCTTGCCTGCATCCTTCCACAAATGTTCGTCTTCGGTGGAGACATAAGTAACCACGACCACCACTCCTCACCTTGGGTTGATGGGAAGGCGAGCCCAAAGTGGCCTGGGACTTACCGCTTCCCACACCTCATTGCCACGCTCCCATGCCCCCTTCATTATTTTGTTCAGAAGAAGAGCCACACCCTGTTGTTTGGCAGTCTCCTGTCCCGAGTAGAGGACTGTCCACCCCTCATGGTTGCTGGAGCCAGAGACGGTCCACCGGACCTCCTGAATGCCACAGAGATCCAGGCGGTACCGGTCCAGCTCCCGACAGAGGAGTGGCAGCCTCCCCTCCGCAGTGAGCGTTCGAACATTCCACGTGGCCATCCGAAGTGGCTTTTCGTTGTTTCTGGAGGAGCCCCGAGGGTAAAAATTCAATCTCCTGGCTCTGCCAAATGGGGTTTGGCCAGGAAACGTCATAAACGCCTGTCCCCCCGGGGCCTCCGGCACAAGCTTATTAATTAGATATCTTAGATGTGGTTTAGTGGTAATTATACCCTCACCACAAACCTCACCACCACCCTTGCCACCCTCACCCTCACCTCCCTCACCACTACCCTCACCACTACCCTCACCACTACCCTCACCACCACCCTCACCACCACCCTCACCACCACCCTCACCACCCGTACCACTACCCTCACCACCACCCTCACCACCCTCACCACCACCCGCACCACCCCCCCCCCCCCCCCCGCCCACTGATCCGCTGAGCCAGTCGCTGGAGTAGCAGAAGGATCCCAGTAGTCAACATCCACGGAGATGTTGACTACCTCGCCTGGTACGCAGGAGGTCGTGGGTTCCATCCCGACCCTGATGACGCCTGCTGCTGCTGCTGTAGATTTGGAGTCTGCGTGTCTCTCTCTCTCTCTCATCATCATCACGGTGGCTAGGAGATGTTAACGACCTCGCCTGGTCTACAGGAGGTCGTGGGTTCCATCCCGACCCTGATGATGCCTGCTGCTGCTGCTGTATATTTGGAGTCTGCGTGTCTCTCTCTCTCATCATCACGGTGGCTAGGAGATGTTAACGACCTCGCCTGGTCTACAGGAGGTCGTGGGTTCCATCCCGACCCTGATGACGCCTGCTGCTGTATATTTGGAGTCTGCGTCTATCTCTCATCATCATCATCACGGTGGCTAGGAGATGTTAACGACCTCGCCTGGTGTGCAGGAGGTCGTGGGATCCATCCCGACCCTGACGATGCCTGCTGCTGCTGCTGTAGATTTGGAGTCTGCGTCTCTCTCTCTGTCTCTCCCCCCGGTTTTCCCTCCACATTCAGAATCAACACCATCACGCGTTTGTTGAGTATCTGACTGCTGCTATAAATGTCCACGTGATGGTGATGATGATGATGCTGATGATAAGGCGCTTGGTTGAGCTATCGTTTGTGATAGGGGGCCGTCCATAAATGACGTCACGCACCTAGGGGAGGGGGGTTAATAAATGTGACGTCACGTCAAAATGCGCTACTTTAAATAAATATAGACAACGCGTTCTACTTAATTAGACTTTTTTTTTAAGAAATGTTTTCTCCTACAGCATCAGAGTGCAGTGCCACATTAAATACGCACTACAATGACAATAGTTTAAAGCGATTTGAAACATGTTTTATATTTTTTGAGGGGGGAGGGGCAAAGCTTTGTGACGTCATATTTGAGGGGGGGGGGTCTGACTTTTTGTGACGCCGTGTGACGATGGGGGGGGGGGGGGGGTAAAAAAATCGTCCAAAATGGCGTGACGTCATTTATGGACGGCCCCAATATAAATAGTTTAGTTGACCCCACTCGCTCAGAATATGTATTTATTGCTGGAGGAATCCGATGAGCTATAAAGCTCTTTAACACTCACGCACTCACTCACCGGATCTGAACCCAGATCGCAATTCAAGCCAGACCTGAACCCAAACCTGAACCTAATCTGGACCTCAACCCAGCCTCAACCTGAACCCAGACCTGACCTCAACCTGAACCCAGACCTGACCTCGACCTTGACCTGAACCCAGACCTGACCTCAACCTGAACCCAGACCTGACCTCGACCTGAACCCAGACCTGACCTCGACCTTGACCTGAACCCAGACCTGACCTCAACCTGAACCCAGACCTGACCTCAACCTGAACCCTACTCACCGTCGACTCCTCACCGAATACTCACCACATACTCACCACATACTCACCACCTACTCACCATCTACTCACCACATACTCACCACATACTCACCATCTACTCACCACATACTCACCACATACTCACCACATACTCACCATCTACTCACCACATACTCACCATCTACTCACCACATACTCATCACCTACTCACCACATACTCACCATCTACTCACCACATACTCACCATCTACTCACCATCTACTCACCACATACTCACCACCTACTCACCACATACTCACCATCTACTCACCACATACTCACCACCTACTCACCATCTACTCACCACATAATCACCATCTACTCACCACATACTCACCATATACTCACCACATACTCACCATCTACTCACCACATAATCACCATCTACTCACCACCAACTCACCACATACTGACCATCTACTCACCACCTACTCACCACATACTCACCACCTACTCACCACCTACTCACCATCTACTCACCATCTACTCACCACCTACTCACCATCTACTCACCACATACTCACCACCTACTCACCACATACTCACCATCTACTCACCACATACTCACCATCTACTCACCATCTACTCACCACATACTCACCACCTACTCACCACCTACTCACCATCTACTCACCACATACTCACCACCTACTCACCACATACTCACCATCTA